TTCAAACTAAAACAACAGCAACTCTTCACGGTTAGCGTCATTTTTACTGGCGAATCGGATTTTAATTGGAAAAATTGGATTTTTTTCTGTATTTCGAGATTATTTGGGTAGAAGGTGGTTCCAGGTGAGACCTTGAAATGTCCAAAATATCATTCGAATGAAAAATTTTAACACTGAAAGATTAAAGAAAAAAGTCAAATAGGTTTCACTTGAGATTAGGTTAATTATTCATTTCAATTTCAACATTCTGATCATTGTTTGTTAAAATAAAACATTCGTCGTTAATTTTAATAATTTGGCGTGGGTTTGAGTTCAGTCACTTAGTGTTATTCCATTGTTCTTGCTATCCAGTTAGCAACAGGCGAATTTAACACTCGAAACGATTTCTTCTTTCTTTTTCACTAAAACAACAGAAATCAAATATTCAACTGATTCAAAAAAAAAAACTAGCTACTACAGTACCTAACACCAAAACCGCACCGAACTTTATTACAATTATCTGTTGAATGTCTGATTGAACTGAAGCCGAAAGGAATTCTGATAGCCACTGAACTCCCATCGGAATTTTAGTCATGTATTCATGATGAAAAACATTTGTTGAATTTAATAAAAACAACAAAACAAAAAAACAAAAATCGTTTAAATCCCAGAAAGCAAAGTCGTAATAACCACAGATCCAAATTCTAAAAATAGCTTGAGTTATGGCTTGCGGTTTGATTACTACTGCTTCGTATTTACCTAGGGGCATTTAAGTCGAAAACGATGCGTTGTATGCGACGTTTATGCGGTTTAAAATATTATATTTGTCAATCGCACTGCTATATGTAAACAATTCGCAGTATGCGCATTTTATTTGCTTAAAAATAAACAAACACATTTTACGAACAATAGCGCATTGCCACGAATACCGCGCATAAGCGTTGCTCTTTTGCCAATACACTCGCATACTTCATACTGAAGTATTCTGTACGCTGACACGCTGTTTACATCTAGATGTCATAGTACGCTCGACCGCACATCAAGTATATGTAAGTGGCGAAATCCTGAACATTTTTATTGAATCTATTCCCATTTGGATGTCCATTTGAATTCGATTCAGCTGTATCGATGAGCGCCTTTAATATGAAAGAGAACTGCGACAAATTTGCTTGTTTCACTTCAATTTCTTGTATACCCTTGTTGACATTTTCCATTCTTTTAATTTCACTTGGCAGATTCAAAAGTAAAACTCTATGGCCAGGTAAAAACTCAAAATCATCGTTGTTTTCGTAGGTCGTGTCTTTTAATATGAAACGATTTTTTCGAACATATTCTTCAATCTTATTAATTCGTTCCTCGTTAATGAGTTTTAATATAGTTTCTGTCGTATAGCCAAGTTGCCTTCAATATTTTGATGATGCTTTCAGGAAGCTGATCGCTGATGAAATTTACCAATTTTCCAAATACATCTTGTTGCTTTGGCTTCAAAATAATTATATACAGTAATCAATTTAAAATATAATGAAAAATAAAACAATAACAGTTAGTATTTCTTTTAACTTTTACCATTTTTATCAATTATTTTTATTAATCAACTGGAAGAAAATTTCTCTTAAGCACAAATGATGCTGACAACAAACGTTTTTTTCAAATCAAAGTCACCGATACAACAGATTTTGTGACATTCAGCCTTGTAGTAACGCAGTGAATGAGTGAACAGTATGAGTGCTGGTAAACGACTGATTTATTGTACGATTCTTAATACTAATGAACAATAGCTGTCAGTGTCAGTGATGACAGATACTTATGCTACAGATTGACTGGTAATGAAAATGTGAGCTCTTATTTAAAAAATGAGAAAAATACAATGAAAAATCTGTTTGTGAAACATTGCTTTTATTTGACATGAAATTCAAAACATTGGTTCTTACTTTTGGCTTTGTTTTTCTATTTCCATTTCTCCTTATTTGTGAGTTTTTGTTTCTATTTGCTTGCTTCAATTTGAATGTATTTTTAGTAAATCAACGGTAAATCTGCCCATTCCGTTGAGTATACGGTTATCGGTAGTTCTGTAAACTGCATGTTCAAAATTATGACTTCATTTTGATGTTTGATTCACAAATTGTGTGCCAAAGAACATTAAAATTGAGTTCTGTGAACGACATCTCTATCACTCTAATAGCCATTCACATAGAAACGAGTCTGTGTGACAGTTAGAATGAGAGAGAAAAAGCTGGGAGAGTCAGTTTAAATGTCCTTGTAAATACACAATTTAAGCAGAAGGTGATGAAGAAAACGGACATGAAGAAAAAATATGTCGGTAAAACTAAATATCACAAACCTTGTACGATATTTCGTTACTCATTTTCGAAGAAATGAACATCGAGCTCACACCACAAGCCGAGGGATGCGCCTATCTGTGTAATTTGTTGTTGTAATTTGATAGTTCGAACTCCCACCGCTTACGTGTACAATGCAAATCAAATGTATTTCAGTGTGGCGCTAGTAGCATGTAGTTTGCCTTAGACGCAGCTCTCGCCCCAAGCCACAGCGAAGCTACATTTAATCAAATTCATATCATCATCGAGAGATGTTTGTGAAAATGCAATCCATTATTTCCTTTTGATTGAACAAATTAGCTTAATTCAATTTGAATTATTCAAATGAGGGAAGTTCAAAACCAAATCCAAATCATGTCGTCTTTCGCCTACATTTTGTAAGTTGAAGATTATCTTGTATCTCATTTTTTTCGATTTTGATAACATTTTCAGTCATGCTGGATTAGAAGGTGAATGTTACAATTGATAGCGTCACAATTAATTCAATCAAAGAACAATCAAATCTATTGTTTAAATGTGTCTATTTTTGGAAGTAAGTGGAAAGGGCATAAATATAGAAGACACCTTAAAGAAGACATTTTTTTGTTGAAAACAATGTGATCCGACGTACAGTAAGGCATTTTTTTAAAGTGAGCAACCCTGAATGAATGAAATGAAAGAATAACGCATAAAATATGAAGGCCAACACGAATTCCCTTATTCGAAGAAGTTTAAAATGATTGTGATGATTGGAAAATGGGGTGATTTGCCGGTAACATAAATTTAGAATTTTATTTATTTAGAAAATGATTCCGATATTCATTGAGCGAGCCTACACTTAATATCTATGTTTGATATAGACGATGTTTCATAGTTGGGCACATGGTGTGTTGTCGTTCAAAAGAAGAGCAAACATAGCAATTGTTTTTAGAAGTGGCTATAAACTTGGCAGCTTATTTTTATTTTATCGGTGTAGTCGAAAGGAATTCCTTTTGAATCAATAAAATCAAACCTGTTGACAACACGAGTCAATTACTCATTGTGTCCACGCTTTTTGGAAATAATTTAGATGTTTGGGTGTGGTTGTACAATGTACACATCAGATAAATATATAATGGAGCACTTTTCTGATGACCGGACATAAATAAACCACACAGGGGACATACAAATTTGGTTTATTATTTATTAAAGTGTGACAGAAACAAACACGCAACAAAGAGAAAAAAGCGGGTTATTTTGTTGAATTGGTTGGAAAAAAGAGCATCGATGGGGTCAACGGCTATTGGCGAACGAACTCAATTAGTTTATGCTGCAAGAAAATTGGATGTAAAACATTGGCCATGTTTACATGTACATAATTTGTGTCTTCAATTCTCTTGAATTACCTCGATACATCGAAAACACAATAGATGTCCAAATCTCATTGAACTCATTTTGCATTAAATGGGAAGAGAATTCTTTATTTTCGACAAAAAAAATCGTCGTTTGAATGTTTCATGTTAGTCGACTTGAATTTCAAATTGCATTTACGTTTTTTTATTTAAAATAATCAGGATTAGAGCACTGCAGTATATCGCAACAGCGGTGGACTTACTTCGAATGTTCTTTAGAAGTACAATAATGCAATGAATTCGAATAATTTTCTGAATCACAAAGTAAAACATGAAATTTCTTATTGAACAAACGTTATTTTATTTCTCAGATAAATGTTTTCTCTTCACTGAATTTATATTGCTTTGGAAAATGTATGATGCCTTTTTGGATCGATATGGCTTTGTATACAGAGTACATTTAGTTTTAGTAAACAATTATTCTAACTTATGCTAACAATAAGTTTAATCTCAAACATTTGTGTGTTTCATAGACTGCGAGTAAGGTCAATTGACTATTTCTTTCTTTTTTAAATTTATTTTTCAACCTGTATTGATTGGAACTTGACACAAATTTCACTAAATAAAATTTAATCCAAATTTTGATTGAAAACTACGGCTGTTAATTGTGCTTAGTTACGAGTCATTAGAAGAATTGATCCGTTGTTGAATTTAAATGATTTAAAATGCTAACAAGGCAATTTCAAATATGAATTTTGTTTGTAAAAAACGCCAATTTCATTGAATAAAGTTTATTCTACTTGGATTTGACTTGTTGACGTTTCAACTCTCCATCCTATGTACAATACTTGGCAAATTCGGCTTCTTTTATCGACTTGAATAAGGAATACTGTACGATCCACACGTAATAAGCCAGACCTAGGGAGAAATGTAAAAGATTCATAACCAAAATGGTCATCAAATCATGAATAATGTTAAAATTTGAATGAAAAATGCACAATTTACCTGCTAAGCAAAATAGCAAGAAGAATATAGCTGAGCCCGTGGCTGGATCCGCCTTAGTGATTGAAAAATAAAACAGTGAGGCGAATGGCAGTGGAACAAGAATACAGAGGGCAAAGAACGACACAAAGAGCTTTGGACACATTGGCTTTGGATTCTCCTATGAAATCAAGATATTTATATGAGAAATGCAAAAAAATCGTGTGGCGGCTGTTGAACGTCAAAGTCATTTGAGGCGACGCGAGCGCCCCCAATTTCAAAGGGCACATCAATGTAATTTAACATTTCAAATCGGAAATACACAGCGCGCCAATTCGAAATATAGGAAAATATAGTGTCAACAGCCGCACCATGAAAAAAATCAACGGAATTTACAAACATGTTTCGAATTATTCTCGACAAAAAAGAAAAATCTTTGAGTGAAGAATAAATATCATAAACATTTCTTGTGCAATCCCATGCGGTGTGGTATGAGTACTACGAATCGTTCAGCAAAATGCGCGTCGCACATTGTGTGATCGAAATGATTCAGTCCAAACCGACTGAAATACATTTCACCGAGCACCGGTGCGAACGTGAATCATTATCATTATGCATAAACAATAGAGCCAGTCGTAAAGGATTGGATTAATTTTACATGAGTTTATTGAAAACTAAAGGTGGCAAAGGGACAAAATTTGTTCGTCCGTCCGTCCTTCTATTGATTTGGGACAAACGGACATTTGTCCTAATGTCCCATTTCAATCGAATGGTACTCAATTTTTGTTTTCATTAGTTAAATGAAGTTACATAAGTCATTTTAAAAATTTGTCCGTTTGTCCCAATTTGAAATGGGACATTAGGACAAATGTCCGTTTGTCCCAAATCAATAAAAGGACGGACGAACACGAAATGTTCGTCCTCTGTCCGTCCGTCCGTTTGCCACCTTTAATTGAAAACGATAAGTTTATAAAAGATTCAATTCGATGTTTTCGATTAAAACGATTTTGATGTACAATCCATTTACCCTCAGAATGCCGTAAATCCAAAACACTTCGAGAACTATGACGCCGACTAGAAATTATTCAAATAGACAAAAAACACAACATTGGATTAAAATTATTATGTTCGGCTGAAAAAAATGTTTACAAACCAAGGAACCACTTTATAGGTACATTACATTTATAGGTATTACAAGTTCAATCAAAACAATTCTACCAATCCTTCGATTTTCAATTCTTTGATTTTTCCAAGAAATAACAAAAAACAACACTCACTAAACGGCATAATTTTCAACACGTTCATGATGCTGTCAAAACGACTTTCCGATACACTAGCATTGTGAGCGTATATAAGGCCAAACACATAGATTACGATGAAACTTAGCAGAATGCCAACGGCACCAATAATTATACCGCCAGTTTTCAAACTAAAACAACAGCAACTCTTCACGGTTAGCGTCATTTTTAC